GTTAAAACTAAAGGAACAGATCCAACATAGAGTCAGACCTGTTCTTCTCTATTACAAAACCCCCGAGGAGAGTTGGGAATTTCACACAAGAGTAAGACGGTCTTGGTGACATCTAGGTCCCCTATTGTTCCCCCTGTGCTGAGGGCGGGCTGGGCTTCGGTGGCTGTGAGAACGGATTCTGTCTGTGGGACTTCGAGTCTGAATCAGCACATCCCCTTTGTTTGGCTGCATGAGGTCCTTACTGTTACAAGAATGCTTCATCCTCACCACCCCGGGGGGTGGGGGTTTGTCGGCCAGAAAGGAACTGGTTCCCCGGAGTGGCTGTCCTCAAATTGAGACCATGCACATTCTAAGGTGGATTTTCATACTGGTCCTTTTATTTTAGTGTTCATCACGTCCTTTTAGATTTTATTTCTATTTGAAAATATTGATCACATGTTTAACAAATAATTCTAATTTTGCTGTACAATTATGGTTATGATCTTGTTGTTTCCTTCAGAGTTTTACAGGCAGCGATCCCGCCGCCCTGGTGGAAGGCCTTCCAGAGGCTCTGCAGAGGCAGTTTGAGTGTGAAGACCCTGCTGTGCAAGGGGCGAGCAGCTGCTGCACTGCTTGCTCTTCAAGGTGACACGCAACTTGTTTTGAAGCCGTGGGAGAGCCACACACAGGCTGTCAAGGGCCAAGCGTCTAACATCAGGCATCCCTGGGGACGGGGAGCTGCCGCTGGAGTTGAGCACGAGAACCTCCGGGAGTGACCAAGTGGTCTTAGGGGCAGTGGACTCTCAGATGCCCTGACGGAGGCAGCAGGGGTGGTAGCAGTTGTTGGCACCGAGGTCCTGTGGTCCGGTGCACCCCTAGGAGCTGTGTGGGAACAGTCCCCATCCCTGGTGATGCTCAAACCCTTGCAGGGTGCGCGGCAGTCAGCCTGGAGCAGGAGTTCTGAGGGGGGACCCTCAGAGCTTGTGCTGGGGCTGTCTTTGGTGAATGTTGGTCATGTCGCTGAGTGGCCCTGTGTTGTTAATTTTCAGTGATCACAGGTGCTGGCAGCTCTTGCTTGTGACCTGGAACTAGACGCTCTCCCTTGCTGCACGGAGATGCACAGGTGGGCCTGGTTCCGAAGGTACTACTTGGCCACCCGTGTCACTGTGGCCCTGGATCGGAGAGCGCATCTGCCCTGCCTGTTTCTCAACAAGGTATTTCACATTGCTTGGGAGTGACTTCTGGAATGCAAAACGTTTTCTTTATTCAGCCATATGTAAAAAGATAGCAGTATTATGAGACACTGTGACATTCCTCTTGCCAGGAAATACCAGAAAGAAGAAAAAGCATGTTGGTGAAAATGAGTAAACTGACACTGCAAATTTCAGTTTAAGTTTATTTTTAGTAAAGTAAACTAAAGATGTAATGATACTGCCTAGACATTTTATTTTGTTTTATTTTGATTTATTACTTTTCCCCCTTATTGGAGGCAGTGGGGATTGAACCCAGGATCTTGTGCGGGCCAAGCACACGCTCTACCACTCAGCTATTCTCCCCACCCCCTGCTTAGACATTTTAAAATAACTTCAGTGGGATATAATCAGACTGGTTTTGCTTACTAACTGTAAAAACCACGGTGTTGGCATTTCCTCATATTCTTGGGTGGGATTTCCTCCTGTTTTCTTCCCTTAATATTTGTTTTATTCTTGAGAAATGAGTGTTTGACTTGTAATCTCTTAATATTGTCTAGGTGGCTAAGAAAATTCCTGAGTTCATGGCAGATGGCGAAAACATGGACGTCCTCCATGAGAGGCTCGGCGTTTTTAAAAGAGCAAGATGAGCAGCTTGTGCAGTGGACGAACAGGTGATTATGTCAGAAACAGGAAATAACGCCGTCTGTGAGAGGACCGTGTTTCACATGCAGTTGTTCATTTCGTGTTCCTTACAGGTGACTGGATGACGGGACTTTTTCTGCTGGAGGCAGTGGGACAATTTATGGTTGGGGCCGTAACCATAGGAGTCAGCGTGGGAGGCATCGAAGGCGCCAAAGTGAAAGCCCCCACTCCGTGTGGAGCCCTCGCGGGTCTCAGCCCCGTTCAGTGTATCGGGGAGAGCAGGTGCTCTTCTCAGGGACAGCTGCCGAGAGGTAAGGCTGCGTGTTCTGGGCCCTCCTGACAGTGGACTGAGAGACCGCCGTGGCGGGTGTGCGTCTGGTTCACAGGATGTGCGCGTGTTCTGTGCTGAAACATGGTCCCAAGATGAACAGTACTCAGCGGTGTCCTGGAAGCAGTTGCCGTTCCAAAGTATTTCTGTATGATCTTTAGGGTGTTCTTTGGCCACAGTTTTTTAGTTTGAAATGCAGCACACACACAGAAGTGTATTATAATCGTCTGCGTACTGATATGTGTCAGATGTTCGTGTTCCTTTTTTGTTGCTGTCACTGTGCTGTCTGTGAGGAAAGCAGTGCTGCTGGTGTGTGGAGATGGTTGATGTTTACGTGCTGACTTTATGTCTAGTGACCTTAATATTCTCTTTTGTTTCTTAGTGTCTGAGAATGTTTTCTGTCTTCTTTATAAAGGCATGATCTGTAAGTGAATTTTGTTCCTTCCTTTCCAGTTCACCTGCCTTTTTTTCACCTCTCTCCTGTGTGGGACAAGGGAGCTTGTTGCTGGGTGGGAGTTGCCGTCCAGTGGTGAGCAGGGGTAGGGTAGTGGGTCTGTTCTCGGCTTGATCCAGGCTGCGAAGGAAGCGCTGTGGCTGAGCCCTCCACACGCTTACTGGGGGGTTGGTAGACACTTTTATCAAAGTAAGGAAGTGTTCTTCTTTTTCTGCTTCTGAATGGATACTGACTTTTGTCAAATCCTCTTCCTACATTTAAAAAATACTCTTACAGGTGCCTTCTCCTTCAGGGGGTTAATGGAGTGAGTTAGATAGTTTTTCTTATGTCAAACAGTCTTGCCTTCTTTGGAGACACTCAGCTTGGTCAGGGTATGTTTTATCTTTTTTTCTTTGTGTTTGGGATCTTGCAGAGATGGAGATCGTGTGTGCAGTCATCATCGTGTTCCTGTCTTATGTACTCTGTGTCTGGTTTTGGCACTACGTCAGTTATCCGTGTAACTTAGAACAAATAAAATAACATACATAGGTCGTCTCAGTTTCTCTGGGGGCCTCCAGCCCAGAATCTCTTAGCAGCCTGCCTTTGCTGCAAGGCTGTCCTGGGGAAGCCTCGGCTCCCCTGGGCCCCTGGCTGAGGCTGCCCCCCGTTCTCCACCATCTCACGTGGCAGCTGGCCCCGTGAGAGTGAGCATGGGCAGGGCGAGGAAGGGTGCGAGCAGGACACAGGTCACAGTCTTGTGTGAGCTCATTCAGAAGTGACACCCCATCCCCATTGCTGTATTCTGTCTCTTAGAGTCA